GTAGTTTTCTAGTGTGTAAAAGGCTGTCCTTCCGCTAAACATGCTATTTATAAATGAGAATGAATTTTCTTCTGTTGCTGAATTATATGTTCCTAATCCGAGTATAAAAACTACTCCAAATATTGCTACTGATGGTGATATTAGACTTGTAAATAACCATCCCATTGTATTAGTTATATTAGAAAATGACGTTAAGTTTAATCCTATCACTACCAGTGAGGTTATATACTGATCATAGTTATTTAATTTTGCTGAATATTCTGATGCTTCCATATTTCTCTGTGTTGCACTTTCTTTTATTCCTAATTTATATACTGTTTCTAATAAATTTGCCATCACATTAAAAAAGAATACTATTCCACACATGGAAATTAAAAATTTAGATTTTTTCATTATATTAAATGATTCCTTCATACTTAGTCTTGGTTTGGGTCTTCTTGATCTTTCCATTCTTCTGGGTATAAAAAGTGGTGTATTGAGTACTCTCTTTTCTAAATAATACTTACACAACAATACTCCTAATACCATTATTCCCTCTAAGAAAAATATTCCTGACATCATCAGTAACTTTGTTCTTGTTTTATTTTTTAGTTTAGTTATGAAATATCTCATTGCTGATGTAACTAGTGCTGATGTAAATAACGCGAAATTGATCAATATAAACAGTGGTGGAATAAACCTTGAATGTTGTCTAAATGTACATGATTCATTAAGATATGATAAATAAAGATAACTTAACATTATTGATCCCCATAATTCTGCTGATATATAAATTAGTGTTGCCATTGGTTCTGCTAGTGTATACATAAAATACTTAATTACATTATTTGATTTTCCATACGTCTTTTTTAAGTAAGTTAAATCTAAAATGTCTTTCTCAAACGGTAGAATTGATCCAAATAGAATAAACAATACTGCAAATATAACTAGGAATATTGTAAATATCTTTGAAATTGTTTTACTTTGTAAAAGATAGTTAATTAACACCACCACTCCAAATGACAAAGGTAAAATATAGCAAATTTTTATAAAGTTAAAACAATTAGGATCTTGTCTTTCCATAACAAACATGTCTTTTAAAATTCTCATAAAAGAGTAAATAAACCCAATTATAAAAAACATACTCCCAAACAATAAGAATCTAGTCCACTCATTACTAGCTACTCTAACATTCCTTAATAGCCCTGTTCTACTGTTAGCCTCTTCTTCTATTTCATCCTCATGTCTTAAATTTTGAATGTTCTCACCTTCATTGTGATTATTCATGCTAAATAAAATTTATTTTAATTTATAGTTTATTTGTTTACCATAAATAAATTAATTGAACTTTTATGACATAAAAAAAATATTTTTTTTATTAAATCATATTTATAATATTATCAATCACTTATTAATTTTAGATTATTTTTTTAATAATTATTTGTTTATTGTAAATTAATTAATTAAACTTTTTACAAAAAATAATATTTATAATATTATCAAATAGTTATTAATTTTGATTACTTTTAATAAATTTGTTTGTTTTAACATACAAATTTATTAAAAGTTTTATTTTTATAAATTTTATAATGCGTGGGTTTTATGGACCAATAGAAGTGACACTTCATAACAGAACATTTCACGAGTCTTCACCAATAAGTTCAATTGATGTTTACAACAATTTGTTAGCTACCAGTGGTTATGATAAGTCTATTAGAGTATGGATTATTAAGAAGAGTGTTCTTACAATTAATACTAATATTTATCACTTAGCACCGGAATCTTCTATTGAATTTGAATTTTATAAAGAACTTGGTGGATTTGAAAGTGCTGTTAATGTTTGTAGATTTTATAAAGGAGATGATCAGTCAAAAGATGATTTTTTAATAGTAGGTGCTGGTTTTGATAGAATTGTTCTCTTTAATAAAGATAACCGATTCAATATTTATTTATCTAATAATGATGAGTGTACAGATATACTTTGGATTAATAAAGCCACTGTTATAGCATCATTCTTTTCTGGTCGTATAGTTGTAATTAATTTGATATTCAAATACACTAATAACGAATTAGTTAATGTTAATCAAGAAACGGTTTTTAATGAATCTCTTCATAGTTCAGCTATAAGAGGTATTTGTTTTAATGAAAAGTGGAGTTGTTTAAATACACATTCTCTAGATAATTCAAGTAAAACATTTTTATTAAAGAATAATAAGCTTAAATTAATTTCTAAAATTAGAAACAATATTGATAAAAGTACTGGTATATTTAAAAGAAACGGTTTTTTTGATGATTCTTTGTACGTAATATGTAAAAAAAGAATGTTGGAATTTTATTGTTATCCGTTTAAGGAAGCTAACATTTATAAAAGATTGGGACCGTTTAATTCTTCTATAGTCAAAATAGTAAAAAACTGTTATTTTTTAGTTGTTGCTTGTACAAAAGGAATATACACATTTGATAGACATTTAAATAGAAAGTATTTTGTTGAGTCTGCTGCTTATGGTCCTATTAATGATGTT